TTTCTTTTTTGAATTTCATCTTTTGTATTTTTCATGACCTCTTCTAAGAATCATTCTTAGGCATCACAATTAATGTGATTTACACCAATTAAACTTGAAGAGACATCCCGACCCTCTCGATACCCCTAGGTCTAGGTTTTGCATCCATGTAGAAACATACAAAATGTGATAAGTTTTATAAATTAGATTAAGAAAATTTTTGACTAAATTTTGCAATTAACTCTGGTTAGGTTGAAAGGATGTCTTAGATCAAATCTTTGCCTTTCCTTTTTTCAAACATGACTCCTGAACTCGCTTCTCTTATTTTTAAAGACCTGGAGTTGTCTAAAAAGAGTTTTATTTATTTTTTTTTTATTTAAAAAATATTTTTGGTGACTTGATGCACATAAACTCAATACCAAATGGCGACTCTTATTTTTTCTTAAAACCCTTTTTAAACTACTATTTTGGATCCAAACCATCGCATATTTTAAGTCTCATTTTAGGCCCTTTTTCTTTAGTTATTTTCTGAAATCAAAAACTCTTTTTTTTAACTTCATAAATTTATTTTTCAAAGAAAGGGGTGCGACATTTGCAAATATCATTTTTGTTTTTCAAATATATATTTTTATGGACTATAGTATTATGATGTGGTAGTACTACTAGAAATTATTTTTTAAATGATGGTTTTCTTGAAGTAAACAAAGTGATCTAGGAGCATTTTTATTTAACAAGTAGAAGGGTAATTTAGGGTTTTTAAAAATTTTATTACACAAATAACAAATATAAGGGAGGTAAGTGCTATTTTTAAAATTTTAGGGGTATTAGATGATATTAAGAGAAACCTTAGGAGAGGTTTCTGATATTACCCCTTGTATTTGGATGAGTTGGGTTTGGGTGATTTTATAATGTTGTCCTCAAATTTAAAATTTGAAAATATGAGAAATGTATTAAAGTTGCTTTTTCAAATGACAAAGTGAAAAAACTAATAAAATGTTGTATTGACTTATTTTTAGAGGGTGACTCTTATTTTGGGACATTCAAAAAATGAAAATATGATATTAACAGTGAGATTGAGGAAATATATATAGATACAGTATCTTATAAATAAACTAGACCCTCGAACTTATAAGTCATGAGGTCAAGAGTTTCTCCATGTATATTAAATAAAAGTGTATGCTATGAGATATATGGCTTGTTCTCAACTGATTCTAATTTTATAAAAACTGATTTTGTAAATTTGATTCTTAAAAATCAAATGTTTTACAATAATTCCCGTGTTCTTGTTTAATATTGAAAAAGCTATTTTAATAAATGTATAGGTGTTCTCAAAAAAGTTAATTTTGACAAAATGATGACCAAGTTAATAAGGTGCCCTTAATTATTTTCTTATAAAGATTATAAATGTTGGATGAGAAAAAGAAGGGGCACAAAACGAATTTGGAAGTGGGATAATAATAGGAAAGAAATAAAGTGACGATAAAAAAAATTATCTAATCTTTAAGTAGTTTAGCATTTATAGTGAATTTTCAAAAAGTAGACCAAAATCAGAATCCAAAAGCACCTCAAGACTTGCTTCTAATTTTTAGCTTTTTTGGGCCCAAAAAAATGTTTTTAAAATCAATTGAGAACATAATAATATACCTTTTCAAAAATCAAAATTCAAAGTTAAGTTTGCAAAATTAGTTGAGAACAACTCATAAGTTTCTTGATGTACTTGGCATTTAGTTAAATTAACTCTATTAATGTTGGTTTATTCTGCAGATACACGCAAAGAGTTGGTTTCTTCAGGTAACTAGTTTCCTATTCACGCATTTGCCCTGGGATCTTTTTTTTTTTTTTTTTTTTCATTTAAGAGTACTGTTAATTTAAATCTCAAAAACTAAGGTGTTTGTTTATTAGATAAAAATTTTTGTGATCTCTTAAAGAGTGCAATTATTTGGAAATAGTTTGCGACACTAGAGAGAATATGCTAAAATTAAAACTCAAAATGGAGATAGGCATGAATCTCGAATAAAGTGTTTTAAACATTGGATCAAAAGTTAAAGTGATAAAAGCATTAACACCAAAATTTACCCTTTCCTAAGTTCTCTAATATTCTAACCACTAAAAAAATAATAAAAAAAGGGGCCATCCTTGCTAATGAATCAGTGTCATTCGGTCAAGAAAAGCATATATCTATTGGGAAGGATGAAAGAGAGAAGAAAGAGAAAAAGAAATAAAAGAAAGGAAAATAATTTCATCTTATGATATTTTCTTGAGAATAAAATGAGAAACTAGAAAGGAAAGAGGAAAATCCAAAATTAAAAGAATTGAAAGGCTAAAAAAATTGTATTTTAGGAAAGTAATTTGAATATTTTTTAATCATTTAAGGAGAAGATAGATTTCTGCAATTCTTCTTTTTTAATTTCAATCATTAAGGTAAAGATTTTTGTGAGAAAGAGGAAGAATTAAATAAAGAAGAAAGAGAAAAAGAAATAAAAGAAAGGAAAACAAGGTAAATGAAAAGTCAAAATAATGCAAGAGTAATTTTGTCCTAAAGGGGGTTAAGTGAGCAAAATTAAAGGTTAGGGGGTAAACTGAAAAATGAGATATTCTTTAAGGGGAAAAAATGTGATTAACCCTATGGTCAATTATGAAGCTTTACAAAATCTTTAAAGGTAAAAAGTACCAAGAAAACTTATGAGTTTGAATGGCTTGCCTGAATGGTCATATCCACATAATCTACTGTAAATCTCTTTTATCCCCTGATCCTCTTTCAATTATTTGTTGAGCCAAGCAAATTCTTCTTGTTTCTTAATCTCATGTAATAAGCCAGTTTTTTTTTCTGACGCTTATTATATTTATAATTTTATTACTTGCAATTACGAGATACTATAATTTCATAACTTAAGCTGCAGCAGGTCTGAGAATGAATGATTTCATTGTAGCAGCTAAAATAGATGAGGTTAAATCATCAGATCTCATTCCCAGAAGGAGAGTTTGGGCAATAAATGAAAAAAACTGGTTCATCTAATGGGGAAACCAAAAGTTTTCGCATTTCAGGGTCTCATGGGAGCTAGAACTGAAGTTCCATTGCTTGCTCAAATGGCTATATTTTGTACTTTTGTTGTTGACAATATTTCCAGTTCGATGGCATTTGTTCTTCTGGGCAAACAAATTATTAATTGTATCAAAAGATTATGCAACAAGGCGTAATTTAACTTTGAAAAGAAAAGGGGAAAAAAAAGTGCCTAACATAAATGTTATCAGGAACCTATCTAAGAAAAAGAATCAGCACGATACACTGAAAAGAGAAGATAATAAGGAAACATGAATTACTTGATCCTGATCGTAGACAGATGCAACATAACCAGTAGTAGTAGAGAAGTGAAGGATTAAGAAAGGAAAATGAAAAATGAGTAAACTGCCTCTCAAACCAGACATACCTGAGAACAACCCATTTTGGAGGATGAAATAACCTTGAAATCAGTTGGGACAATCAGACAGCACAATTATTTCAAGAGTTGAAATATTCCCCCAAAGAAGAAGGGATCTCCACCAAATCATAAGAGCTTTCCAATACCAATTTCTGCAGACGACGAAAACTGTTCTTGCACTCAAAATCAGTCCATTTGACAATGTCCAGGGAAGCTAATTTCAAGGATTTAAGTTTGGGGAATTCGTCTTCTTCCATGTTCCATTCATCCCCCACAAAGGTTTCCTCCAGCAACTTGAGAACCTTAGGATTGGGTAGATTTGCAATTGCAGATATTTCACTCCAAGGCAAGCAGAAGCCAGACACAGTCAATTTTTTAATTGTCAAAGAGAAATGAAACTCAAAAGGGATATCGCTCCTAGAAAGTTAACTGCTAGAATCTTGTAGCTACCCTCCTTAGCATGATCATAACCTACAGAGACCGCGCATTTCAGCTTGTGGATGTTTGGAATTTTTCTTAGTATCTTGTCCTTGTTTTTCCAAGAAGAAAGGCTTACACCGGAGAAAGTATCCAAATTGCACAGCTGTGAAGAGTTGTCAAGATTTTTTTATGGGCAAATCGAAACCTCCCCTTAAGCTCTCGTCCTTCAGTCTTTTCATATTCCATTTAGTATCTGGCAAAGAAATCCAAAAATAAGAGTTTCTAAATTCGAGAGACTAGCTATAGATGTTGGAATGGACTTCATATCACCAAGAACTGCCAAGTACCTCAACTGAACGAGCAACTCTATTTCTCTAGGAAAAGTACCTCCTAGATTTACTTGGCTTAAATCTAACACTCTCGAGAAGTTTGAAGACCTGAAAGATGAAATAAAGATCAAACCGAGTGTATTGTTCCCTTGGTCCAAATTCGAAGAACAATAAAAACCGAACAGTGGGGAAAGATAGCCTTGACTCTTCGAAGTGCCCTGGCTTAGAATTGATGCATAAGCAACGTAGGTTGTGTGGCACATTGAAAGTATAAAGTTCATCATACCCAATGTACCAAGTGCAAAAACTTTTCTTCTTTGGCTTTTGTCACACAAAACTCATGTAACAAATCATGAATCCGACAAGCTTTGACTGCCCCAGTTGATCTTTGCTTAGATACCATGACTAGGCTCCTGCCTATGAGATTCATCATATAATCATTTGCCACATCCTCTGCGCTCTTTGAATGAGTTGTTTGCACAAATCCTTAGGCCACCCATAACCAAATCAACCTCTCGATAGTGTGTTCATGGTCTTCTGGGAATCCTCCAAAATAAGGGGTAATCCTTGACACATTTCCACGATCTGGGTCCGGAGTTCACATAATTCTGGAGCAAGCAAATCTTTTCCAGGACAAAACTTTTCTTGTAGAAAATCCCAGCTCTCATCATGAGTTAGTTGACGAAGAGAATGAGGTTCTTGGTCGAGTTTATCTTGCGGAGCAACATCACAGATTCGACTTGTCAAGATAACTCTACTTCCATTTCCATCATCAGGCAATGACGCTTCCAAAAGAAATTCGTTATAAATTGATAAATTGTAAAATCCTTATAAATATGAGCAATTCCATGGCTTTTATTCTTTTCAGAAAACAATTTTTAAATCGTACTGAGAGATTGAATAAAGTTGTAGTTATTATACAACTAAGCAAGATTAACTTAAAAAAGTACGAAATGCTCTTTCAATCAGGACTCCTATTTGAGAATAAAACAGCGGCTACTTCAAACAGGGAAGTAATTCCACCATCGCATTCTGTGGCAGAAAAAAAAGTAATATGTAGGCATAAAAAAACTTGATTTTGGCACTAAACTAATACAACATAACCAGTATAGTACAGAAGTGAAGGATTTGAAAAGGTGTAGAATGAGCAAAATGGCTGCCCACAGCAAACAGACCCAAAGAAGATCAATAACTCAATTCTGAGGATGAAATAAGTACTTGAGACCTTCTTCCTGTAGTTGCATTACTGAACTTGCAGAGTTTGGACAACCAGACACCTCAATTGTTTCAAGGGTTGAAATATTCCCCAATGAAGAGGGGACTTCCTTCAAAAAGTAACATCTTTCCAACACTAGTTTCCCCAGATGAGGAAAGCAGTTCTCACACTCGGAGGCTGTCCACTTGGCAATGTCCAAGGAAGCTAATTTCAAAAATCTAACTTTAGGGAATTCCTCTACTTCCATGTTCCATTCTTGTCCCTCAAAGGCTTGATGGAGTAATTTGAGAACCTCAAGATTGGGTAGATTTGCAATTGCTGATATTTTGCACCATGGTAAGCGGAAGCCGGACAGAGTCAACTTTTTAATAGTTGAAGAGAAACAAAACTCAATCTGATATTGCACATCACGAAGTGGATCCAAATTCAAATTGAGCGATTCTAGTCGATGTAGAAAGTGAAGCACAAGAACCTTGTTGCTTTTATCCCAAGGAGAAGCTTTGTATTCTGAGATCTTGAGTTTTAGCTTGCGGATATTTGGGAACTTTCCCAATATCTTGTCCATGTTCCCCCAAGAAGAAAGAATTGCAATAGAGAAGGAATCTAAATTACACAACTGTGAAGAGTTGTCAAGATTGCCTGTTGGCAAACGAAAACCGCTTCTGAAAAACTTGTTCATAATTTGCAAATGCCTTAGTTTCCTTAGACTCCATATAGTATCTGGTAGCAAGACTGGTGATTCAAGAGTTTCCACCATAAAAGTTTCTAAATTCGAGAGACTGGCTATTGATGATGGGATGTTCCGCATGTTACCAAGAACTGCCAAGTATCTCAACAGAACAAGCATTTCTATTTCTCTAGGAAAAGCATAACCCAAATTAATTTGGCTCAAATCTAACACTTTAACAAGTTTGAAGATGCAAGAAATGAATGAAAGATCAAACGACCAAGTTCTTGGGTGCACTTCAGCACAAGCAAACACTAATAGAGAACGTATAGTGGGAGAATATAACCTTAATTTCCAAAAGTGCTCAGGCTCACAGTTGATGCATAAGCGGTGTAGGTTGGGAGGCACATAGCAAGTAGACAATTCATCATACCCACGTACCAGCTGCAAAAAATTTTCTTCTTGGGCTTTTCTCACACAGAAATCATGTAACAAATCGTGAATGCGACAAGTTTTAACCCCACCAATAGATCTTTGTTTGGGAACCATGACTAAACTTCTGCCAATGAGATCCATCAGGTAATCATATGCCACATCCTCCGAGCTCTTGAACTGAGTTTTTTGCACAAATCCTTCGGCAACCCATAACCAAGTTAACCGATCGGTAATGTGCTCATGATCCTGGGGATATGCTCCAAAATAGAGAAAACATGGCCTCAAATTTTCTGGTAAATTTGTGTAACTCAGCTCTAGTGCAGCTTTGCATTGTTCTGAACTAGAAATAGCGCTTGAGCTTAAACGTTGCACAACTTCTTTCCAGCCATATTGGTCTGTATGAGCTAGAATTCCAGCAAGAATGACGATAGTAAGAGGTAGCCCTTGACACATTTCCACGATTTGCGTTCGAAGTTCACATAATTTTGGAGGCAAATCTTTTCCAGGAAATAACTTTTCTTTCAGCAAATCCCAACTTTCATCATGAGTGAGTTGACGAAGACAATGAGGTTCTTTATCCAGTTTATCTTGCGGAGCAACATCATGAAGTCGACTTGTCATGATAACTCTGCTTCCATTTGCATCATTAGGAAATGAGGCTTGCAATTCATTCCATGCTTCAATGTCCCATATATCATCCAAAACAATGAGATATCTGTTCCTTTTCAAACATTTGTAGATTTCTTCAGCCAATTCTTCTTCAGTCTTGTTAAAAAATATGTTTGGAAGAATACAGGTCAAAATTTCAAGAAACAGATTTTTCTTGTGATATACTTGAGATATAGAACACCAAGCACGCAGATGGAAATGGGACATAACCATGGGATCGTGGTAAATTTTGTGAGCTATAGTTGTCTTACCAAGCCCTGGCATACCCACAATGGGAATAATTTGCACCTGTCGTGATCCTCTTGTGAGTCGATTGATAATCAAATTTGCCTCATCCTCAAATCCCACCACCACTTCATTGATTTTTGGCTTATTTTTCTGTGATGGCTTGTGATCCATTCTCTTGGTAGCTTCCTTAACTTCTCCATCGAGCCTATTGCTATTACAAATGTTCAAGGCCTTAAATTTAATGATCTTAATTTCTTCCAAAATGGAATGAAACGACATTGAAGAAGAATCTAGAATATCGCCAACCATTAACGAGTCAATAAGAAACTCTACCCTGTATGCAACCTCAACGACACTATTCCAAAGATCTTGGAGCACCTTATCTTCATTTCGCAACTCCACAATTTTCCCCAAAAAAGTGCGCAAGGAAACAAGTTCTTCATGGATTGGTCTAACTGGATGATTTACAAGAGCATTTGAACCACCCTCAGGACTTGTCAGATCGACCATATTTTCTAGAAGAAAATCAATGAAACCCAACTGATTGGTCCTAGGAAAGAATGATGATGTTTCTAGACGCTTCTCCGCAACTGTTGCCTTGATAAGCTTAATCCTTTCCAGAAAATCGACATACTCAATATCCATTTCCTTGATCAATCCATCTCTCTTTGCTTTTTGAGAAAGAAAGCAAATAACAAGTCCTGCATCACAGACCACGAGTCCAATAAGATGTCTCAATTTCTCATCGAACTTCTTTGGCTTCTCCTTGAGATTGGTTCTCAAGAAACTTAGTCCTTCATAAAGCATTTGCAGTTGATCCTTTACGGAAATCAAAAAACAAGTGCCAGACTTTACTATCTCCCAAAGAGTACATAGCAGAACATCGACAAGATATATGAATATATGCTCATCTGATTCGCTATATGATTCTTTTGATAGATTTGAGGCAATCAGGGCCTGTACACAAGACTCTACAGGAACAACAACCATGTGCTTTGGCTCTTTTAGCATTTGGATATTGTTATTATAACTAATCCGGTACCTGAAAGAGAAATCCGCTGCATTGATAGCCAGAACTCCAGTATGAGTCAACAAAGGCCCCAGTTGACCACCTTCAACGCCCCGCAATGTGACAAAACAGATTAAGTTTTTCATGAACGTTAGCTTTTCTTTAAGGGCTTTGATTCGCTCTCCTTCAACTTGATTAGCTGCAAACACTCTGATGGTAGGAAAGTTCGGTAGATTCTCCAGAAGAGAGTTGATGAATTCCACAAGGTCATCTTTTTGCATAGGGGGATTATTAGACTGCCTTAATGAGCGATCTGAGAAAACCAAGTACCATTCCTCAATTTCTAGCTCAAAAGATGTGATGTCTTCCTGTACGTTATTACTCACAGCTCTCAACTCGTTCTTAGGAAATCCACCTTCCACAGCAGTAAGATAGCAGGTGTGAATCTCCTGTCTCCATTCCGAAATGGCATCTTTAATCCTAGTTATGAGTGCTTTTAGGCTTGCATCATCATCATCGTTGCCCAAGTTTCTCGCACACAGAAGAAATGTTCTAAGAATTGTCAGCCGAAATTGCAGGTGTCGCAAATCTCCATACCCTTCCAAGTATCGACGTCCCAACCGACGTCGAGATTCTGGACAGTAGTTCTTCAGCAACTCCAGATCATCCAAGGCAGAAGAAATACAATTAATACTACTGGAGGCCATCTAACGTAAGGAAGATAATTAACGGGACCAAAACGGAATGCTTTTTAGAGATGAAACCAAAAAGAAAACTTTCGAAAGCTATAACAGGAGATAAGAACTGCAAAATCTCACGATCAAGTGCTTACCTCTTTCTAAATACACAGATTGCCAGTATAGAGTGATTACTAGACATATGAATTCATCGAGAAAACAAAAAGAAAACAATTTAATGGATTCTTTTTTGGGTGCAAATTCAATGGATGCTGCAAATCAGCATTTCATTACAAACTTGAAACATAAGTAAAGTTAGATCAAAGTATTGTGGGTCCCAATTTTCCAAGTACTAGCAATTTCGTGGAAGATGCGTTTGTGATGTGACCAGCATTTGACAGTGCCAATTTTTCCCCTATTTTCATGGATATCATTTTAAAATTTTTTTGAGAACTAGTTTGAGAGGATAGAGAACAGACTTGTATGTCCACGTGGTATGTCTCTTTTCTTTTTCATTTTTTTGGGGTGCTTAGTATGCCTCTTTCTTGTAACACGGTGCTTTCTAAGAAATTGATAAAGTCAATCTGAAAGGAGTGCTATCTTTCAAATAGTTCTTTGTTTTAAACTTCATGGCTGAAGTTTTTCATTTCTTTTTGGACTTTCAACTTTTTTGAATTGCATAAGGTGTGTCATGTGTGTAAAAAAAGAAGAGAATAAAAGTTAAAATAAGTAAAAACCGTCCTTCTATGGTAGATCCTTCATCACGGGCATGGAGCAAGATGATTGTCAAATCAATTATCCTTGAATAATGTAATATTTTTTAAACGTTTTATAGTCTTAAATGAATTATTTGTACATCCTTAAAAAAAGAGATGTCATATTTTATTACTATTTATATAGATTTCATGCATAATAATTACATTTTTATTATAAAATTTTATAATTAGTTCACATAAAATTACATCCTATTCAAAAAACGTCATACCATTCAGAACGAACGATTATTTCTGACAATCGTTTATACCCCTGATCCCTTGGTCACAGGATAAAAAACAAGCCTCGTGCCAGTTTCTGCCCAAAAAAAAAAGTGTTATAATTCTGTAGGATAGTGAAAACAATACATATTCGTACAAGCAAAAATAACAAGAAAAAAGAAAAATAAAAGTTGGTGAATCTTGTAATGGGACAGAGAATGCATCATGTGGAAGGAAAAGTCAAATAATCAAATGGAAATTAGGCTGATCTGAACAGCTATTCCTATTTATTCTTTGGTCGTGTGTGTCCTCTTTGATTAAAATGTTCAATCTAGTTGGCCGGGTAAAATCTGGTGATGGTGTTCAGTTTGGTGCTTAGTGCGTGCAAGTATGCTCAAATTGCAGGCTGCATTGAGACGAAGGTGCCTGTATCAACAAAATTATAAGTGCTATACCATCCTCGGGAATTTGGCAATGCCTAAACGCAATGCAAGTGATTAAACAAGAAATTTGTTGGAGAAACATTTTTGGGTATTGTGCTTTTTTTTCCAATTCTTGAATTCGGCTTTTGCTAGAGGAATAATTTTCTATTTTCTAGAAGGGTACAACATGGAGAAGTTTTGAAAGAAATATGAAAGTGTGGGCAGGTGTACATATAGTAACCAATTGAAAAAAAAAACATGTTACTTCGGCCTTTGCATGAATGAATCCCAAATGTACAAATCGAACATTTATGTGAAAATGTTTGTCCTACTAAAATCAACTTGTTCTTAGTACAGTCCAACCAAGTTAATTTGTGGCGACTTACTGACTTAGAAGTTACTCCTCAATAAATGAAATGGGCAATCCTTATTTTTCTTTTATTTTTTTTACTTAGGGGGTGTCCCAACCTTTTTTTGGCCAGACTAATCCCCTAAGGCCAGCAGAGCCCTGCCCAAGTATGTCAGCAATTTTACAATTATCATAAAGACGGACTTACCAGTCCCGACCGAGCTACCCGTCCTTATTAGGTAAGTACAATATCTTGCTATAAATACAATATATTGCTAACAACAAAGGCCATCCTTTTAACAAAAATACTGCATAAAACAAAGACGATCCCTGCTAATGATGCTAATGAAGCAGTATCATTCAGTAAAGAAAAGGGTTATACTGTTCTTCAAAAGATAGAGCAAGTAATCTAGTAAAAATGTGACAATTTAGTTTATGCTAATCAATAAAATTAAGGGCTCAGTATTTGATTTTGTTTGGATTTGAAGGATTTTGCCTATCCAATTGCGTACATAAGTTCCAAAATCTCAAAATAAATTATCATCCAAACAACTGCAGTTTGGTCTGTTTCTTTAACTGTTTAGGTTCTTATGAACAATTATGGTATCAATATTGCCGGATTTACTGTGTTCTATATACTTTAGGTTCTCATGTCTGGATAGCAAGATGGGAAGATATAAGGGGTACTTAATTATTATTATTATTATTTTGTTGGATTATGATTTTAAACGCCATTAGCATTTTAAAAAATTCATACAAGTAGGTATAGATTTCTGGTAATTTTTTAAAGTTCTTATAGCACACATGTTAAACATCTACGTACTTGTTTTACATTGATGGTATATTCAAGGAAAAGAAAAGAAAATTTCTGGTTAATAATGGACTAGTTCTTGGTACAGTTTCGATATGTTTGATGTTGCACATGGGAAATGAAGTAAGAATGAAAATTCATTGGAGGATTTTTAGGGTTTTTTCTTCTATCATTCAAAGTTTGAATGCTAAACCTAACAATTGCATATCGAAAGGGTGCGAAAATGCGTAGGAGGTATTAAAAAAAAGGTAAGAATGACAATATGAAAAACGACATGAAAGCATTACATCAATTGAAAAAAGAATTTTATTTCAGTCAATTATACTTGATTTTCAAAACAATATATAAATGTGTCAAATCTGTCAAATTGGACTAGAAGGGACCAAATTTGCACACCAGCTAACTGCAGGCAACTAATACGAGAAGTCTGGCATCTGTAGAGTTTATGCCACTTTCTTCATAGCATGGCTTGTGCTATTATGGTATAAAATAAGATCAACTTGTGCAGCTCTCTCTTGATAATTCTGTACTTAGAAGTTGGATATTCTGATCTATATTTGAAGCCAAATGAAACTTACTCCAACTTTCTATGCAAGTCCGGAAAATTGGAAAATCTTTTGTACATCCCAAGCCAAAGCACCAAATTAAGCCGACGGCTCAGTCAGTAAGATGATCTGATGGATTTCACTAGTTTCTTTGCTAGCGCTGGAAGTACATTAAATTGCTAAAAAAAACAAAGGCCAATCCTGCTAATTAGTGGTTGTCATTCGGTAAAGAAAACCATCATTGTACCAATCGTCCACATGGACGACTTGGGCTGTCAGTGATAACCCTTCATTCGGAATGATGTAATACTTTTTGAACACCTTGTAATTTTATTTTTATGTGAAGTACTTCTTATAAAGTTTCGTAACAGACACATAATTATTATACATGAGTCCACATGAACAGTAACAGAATATTAGACTCCTGCTGTGAGTATATACAAACAGTTAAGATATAGTTATAAGTTATTTAAAAACTTATATCTTGAGGCTTCGATCAGGAAAACTTTTGAAGGCCATCTCATTTGAGCATCCTAATTCTTCAGGCCCTTCTAATTGCCCCCATGCAAATAAACCAAAAAATAATTGCTATAGGGAGCAAGAAACTCCAAATGCTTAGTCCAGTCCTCTAAAAACTCTAAATTTTTATATATATCCTTACAGATATTCATATCATGTTTCGTTTAAATTTTTTTTTTTTTTTCTAATAGGGGAGGTGTGAGATTTAAGAAACAGAAAAGAAAAAGAGGGATTCTCATATTAAGAGACGCCAAGCTAGTTTGACTAATCTTTTCACATAATGTTTAATTAAAAATATGCACATGAACCTATAGAGCATTTAATATCATATTCGAACTTGTCATTGATAGTTAAACCAACTGAAGTGATGAGGAGTGGATGAAGTCTAGGCTTTGATTTGATCATAAACTGATGTATTACTACACATTTAATGGTTTCAATGATGGACCCCCTAGATGGTTAGATCCAATTCCCTGAACAAGATAGAGGGTTGCAGGTTACCTATCTACATTTCTCATTTATTTAACACAAAAAAAAAAAAGAAAATTCTACGACATGGATTAGGGACTAAACTAAAGATCTCGTCAACTAATCATGTCTACATTTCTCAATTAATCAAGAGATCCTAGCATAGAGATAGACAAGTGATGCTAATCAAAGTGGAATTTGATTTACCTTTGATAGATTCACGAGCTAATTGAGCTCATTAAATGCTTGTGGTCAAAATAACAGAGGCTCTCTTACGTGCTTTCTTCTATAGAGTTAAATTATACTTCCTTTATCCCAATTTTATTGTTGTATTTCAAGAATCCAATTTTTTAAAAATAATAATTTGAATGTGATGCTTATGTTTCTCTTTTCAATTGTATTCCTTAATATTCAAAGTTTGAATTTTAAATATAACGTATAAATAATTTAAGGAATGGATAATTTTGAAAAAAGAGATTAAAAGAATTTTAATTTTTTTAACATGATAAATATTTTAAAACATTTCAAAATAAAAAATATGACACTTTCAAGAAACAAAAGAAGTAAAAAAAGTTGAGTTTTATATAAATCCTAGAAGAAGTTTTGAAAGGCCTCCATCTCCGATCTCTTGAATGTTCAGCAGTCTCCCTTGCTCTCCTACAAGGACCTGTTAGGGGCAACTTTCCTGGGCTTGACTACTGAACCATACGCTACAGTCCCACCAGCAAGAGCCTCAATCATTCACTCTGGAGGCAAGTGTTGAAGTACCCCAAATTGACACATGGGCATTCTGGACTTGATTGATTGTGTCCATTTTCCAAATTAAAATTGGCCTAGTGTTTAACTCATGGGCTCAATCTTCTAGACCCAAATATTCACACGATAAATCAAGTGGTAAGTTTAAATTCACATGTTAAACCCTTTTGATGAATCCAAAACTTGAATCGAACTCAATTTGACTTGTGTTCATTTAAATTTAGTTTGCCAACTAATCAATTCAAACTTGAACAGTATTTTATGTTTGATAAACTTTCAGCTCGAGCATGATTCAATTAATATAAAATTAGGTTTTATACGTAAAAATTTCAAATTACTCAAGCTCAACTCAAGTTTAGTTCGATAAGAACTTGTTCGATTGAACAAATAAACAAATTAAACTTAAATAAAATTTTAAATTCATTAAAATAATCAAACAAT